GAGATGAGAGTCTTGTTGTGTCACTGCCTCGGTGACGGAGGAGTGCTGTGGAGCCCCACTGCCGGTGGCAGAAGGCAGGGGCTGCTGGCGGTGGCAGGAGGTGCTGGGAGCTCTCCCTCTGGGCAGGACACATGCACAGCTCCTGCAAAGCTTTATTTTGGGTTGCCTACTCCAACACTCCAAACACATCCCCTGGCGCCGATACCAGTGGCAAAGTGACGTGGAGCCGGTGAGTGGCCCCCCAACCTCAACTCTGTGTTGGGCTCCTGCCACTCAGTTTTACTGCTGGAAACACTCGAGCTTTTCTTCAGCAACTGCTTCAACACACCCTTCAATTCCTATCTCTCTTTTTAAATCAAGTCAAGGCTTTACCAGCTATACGGGTCAGCCGAAAAAGCAGGTCTTGCCCATGCTGAGGCATCTTCTGGCAACCAGACCTCTTCATCCCCAAGCCACTGGTCTTTCCCTGGAGGTGATTTCAGTAAAACCCCGTGAAAAGCTGCCCAAGAGCATCAGCATCCTAAACTGGGGGGCAGATTTTAGCGTAAGAGACTGTGTCGATCCCACAGCGTGGGGCTGTGTGGCTGGAGCAGCCCCCCCCAGGGCAGGCAGGGCTCTGCCGCTCCCCAGCTCCTGCCCAAAGGGTGTCCAGGGGATTTGAGCTCAGCCCAGATACGCTGGAGATGTCATTACCCAGGAATTTGTGGCAGAGAGAGAAATATTACGGAAATCTTTTGCAATTATCTTTGCCTCCGGCGGTTAGTCTAGATCTCCCCTTTGCATCTTTTTCTTTTTAAATCTCCTAGTCGCAAAGTTGGCTGCTTTTAAATTGGGTGGTGCTTCGGTGGCCTCGAGAGCAGCAGTTTCCATGGTAACTCAGAAGTACCCATTTTTGCACAGTCACGGTTTTAGCGGGTCGCAGCCACCACTGCTGCCGGAGGACCAGGAGGACCCCAAGCCAGTCCCATCCCATCTCCAGCAGCACGAGAGCCAGTGCCACTCCGGGTGCGAGCAGCAGCCCCATATGGCTGAGTTTGGTGTTACCATCCCTTGCCTTCCTTGACCTCCTGGTTGCAAAAAAAAGCCGGGCAGGATGTGCAGCAATGCTGTAGGGTCACCCACGAGGCTGTTCTGGTCCGTGGGATTTCTGTCTTCAGCCACATCTTTGCTATTTGTGCTGGCACAAGCCTGGTATTGGGCTGCTCTTGGACTTCTTTCATCTTTTCCTCTCCCTACTGGGTGTTTTCCCATCATTACGAGAAAGGGGCTTTTCTTTCTTGATGGGCATTTTGAACTGGCCTGGGCTCCGTGAGAAGGATGCTGTGAAAAGGTGCCCTCTATAATCCCACCCTGTGAAGCAGCATCACCTCCCGCTGCCCAGGGGGTTTGCTCTGGGGCATCTCCAGGTGGCTGCTGAAGGTCAGATGGCTTTGGGGGGGCTCTGGGAAAGCAGCTGGCTGGGGTTAAAGCACAGCTTTTGGGGCTCCTCCAGAGCCAGGAGCAAGGAAGGGGGGAGTGAACTGAAATTCTCTTGAATAACTGTGCACCGGAGGGAGGGAGGATTAGTCCCATTAGTGCACAGGACTCGGGGTAATCCCGCTTTCGAATTAGGGATTTCACTGTCATTAATCTGATGTGAAAATAAATAGGGCAGGAGCTTAATGCCTTTGAGGGAGCCGCAGGCACGGGAGGAGAAGGTGGGCTGGAGGGGCTGAGCAGGGACGGGGCCTTTCAGCTCAGACCCCTCCAACCGCATCCCCTCGGGAAGGGTTCAGGGATGAGGGAGGACGGGAGCATCCCTGGGAAATGTCTGAGCCCTGAGCAGGGGCTTCCTCCTCCAGCCTGTTCTCTGGCCAAAGTAAAACTGTTCCCCGCAGTGCATTTTCTTCCACCTTTTCAGCCTTTTCTTCAAAGGCAACACAAGTTCTCTTTTGTCTCTTTTCTCTCTACGTGCGGCAGCGTTGCCGTTTTCCATCTCGCAGCTGTGGCTGACCCTTGCTGACTACGCTGACAGCGTCTGTGACCACAGTGCTAAGGGAGAGCCTGTCTTTTTTTCTGTTAGAAAATTAAAACAACTCTTCTGGTGTCCTGAAAGACACCAAATTCAGCTTTAGTGTTAGATGGACAGGGGACAGCGGTGGCCTTGCCTGTCTTTAAGGAATCAGGGCACTCGTTTTAACTCCAGTGGCAATTCTTCTCATGCAGGTGGTTATTTAACTGCAAAAACCACAATTAGATCATTTAGAAGAAAGAAGTTTTTAGAGATCTGATGAGCAGAGCACCTGAACAAAGGTCCAGGGTAACTCAGCAGAACAGGGGCTTTACCCCACAAACATCTTCAGCCTTAGGCTTCGGTCACTCCACTGAAATAAAAAATAGGGGCAGATGCCAGATCCAGAGGGCAAGCAGTTTTCTGCTCAGAAAATGTTCTTTTTGAAATATTTGTCATTTTGTATCATGATGAGCAGCAGACAAGAACCGACCTAGAAGCCAGAAGAGCCCAGGGTGCGGGAGACCCTGACATCCATAAGGGTTTCCCATGCTCCTGAGGACTCCCTTCAGCAATGGGCTGTGCCTCTGCCTCTCTGGGGACAGACTCTTCCACGTTTTATGCCAAAAAGTCTGTTTTAAGACAACAGAATGTTTCCATCAGAACCGGTCCACGCCAACAATTCGCTTTGATGAATCAGTGTTTTCTAATTCTTGATCGGTTCTGCTAGAAACAAGGGCTCAAGCAGTGGAGAGCAGGATGGAGAACAGTAACGTGACCAGCAACCCTTGGAGAGTGGTGGATTCAAAAGCCTTGTCGCTCCCATCGCAGGGAAAAGCCTCGTTGGCACGATTCCCCATTGCTGGAGCAGCAGGGGATGGAGCTGGCACAAGTGCAGGGTGAGTGTCCCCGGGCAGGATGGAGGAGCAAGGCTGGAGCAACCAGGTACAGGGCCAGGGTGTTCCCCTCCTCCAGAGGAAGCAGAAGACCTAATTCACCAGCACAGTTATTTTATTTTTTTTTAACAGTTCAAAATCCACATGCTGTCATTTTTTTTACTTTAAAGGAAAAAAACATCTCCAAGTATATTAAGTGCAATGAGTGCAACTGCAGGCAGCCTGGGAATAGCACAGGAGTCGTGTTTACAGGGAGTTCCACGTGAATCCCATCAACAATGCAAATATTGTAAGTAAGACGTGGCCATGGGTTGGGCTTTGCTTGGGTCTGATGGGGACTGTTTTCTCTATAGAGCAGGATTACCACTCTGCTTCTAATCAGGCAAAAGGGAAGGGGATCCAAAGAGGCCCTAAAGATGTCAAAAATGAGAAGTCATTGAATGGAGGGAGAAATTAAAATAAACCAGTGTTGGTATTTCAGCGATGCACAAGTCCTCTGGGACTGGGCCAGGAGCTTCGCCTGTACCAGATCCTTCTGCATCACCGACAAAGTGACCTGGGTTTTTGTTTCATTTGTTTATTTGATATCATGCATTTCCATTTTAGACAAGTGGGTTTCCAAGTCTGACGTGTTTGGTCTCCCGCATGGGCTCCGAGGTGTTCTACCTCTGAATTTTCAAATTAAGGCCCTCTCTAAAACAAGAAGTGGTTTGTGTTCAGGTTTTAGGGAAGCTGCAGGACCTTACCCGCTGATTGCTCTTTTTGCTTTTAACCTGGATAAATGAGAACACATGTGCAAAAGTAGTTTGAAATTGCAGCCCTGCACTTGCCTTATCTTATGCTGTGATAAATCTTACGCTGAACTGATAAAATGCCCGATAAAATACTTATAAAAGCAGCAGGGATAAATGTGGTAGGTATTTTTGTTCAGGTTTCCAGAGCAGGAGAATTATTGTTATCAGAATGGATAAATGTCTGTGCGCTTCTTTCTCCATGATCCCTTGCTCACATACGCTTGTGTGTTTGAAAGCATAAAGGTTTATTCATACACAGATGTTTCCAATTATTTTCCTAAGAACAGTTCTCTCATTCATGCTTAATTTGTGAAACTCCTGTTTAGTTCCCCCAAATCTTTTTTTATTATTTTTAATAGTCATACCAGCAGCAGTAATCGTAACCTCTGGGCCTGTTTTGCACTGATGCAAATCAGCACTTACTACTTTGAAACTATTAATATTAGTGCAATTGAGCACTGGTTGGTCCTGTAAGAGAATATGGTCTTTTTTTTGTTGACTGGAGACACCCAACCTTGAGCCCTTTCTGTCCCTTTCAAAGCCTGTGCTGTGCACCCTGGGTCCTGGTTTACATCCCATATCCCAACATGCCGCCATCCTTGGCCCTACCAGCTTGTGCCATCAACTTGGCTTTGTTTTGCCTTCATCCTCAGTCATGATGTAGAGCTCAAAATGGACTCTATAGTTCCTTGAGACTTAGAAACTGGTAGGAAGGAGATAGCCTGCGTTCAGCACCCATTCCCATGACTCAAGACAGAAGCGAGGAGAGCAGCCTCACTGGTTGGAGCAAGGCACCAGGCACAAGCTGGGTTTCAGGTGGTGCCTGAATTAATTAATCTTTCTTTGTCTTGCTTTGTTTAGCTTGGTAGTGAAAGAGTTAATGTTAGGGGACATGTGGGGTGATTCACTGGTAAAACCCTTTGAGATCTGGACATGAAAGTTGCTGTGGGAGGGGGACAGAGGCAGCTGTGTCTCCACTGCCTCTGGGTGGGCATGAAGTACAGAAGGGAATGGCGATGTGGAGGACTTGAGATGGAAAGCGTAGCCGTGGGCCTGGTTGCGCTTCTCTGACTTTGCTGCTGCGTAGGAAATGAAAAGCATCCTTTGTCCCTTCATCTCAACAGGAGTACCCTTTCTAGGGCTGTCTCCTTAGTTGCCAAAAACTTCAAACCTTAGCAAATCTGGGATGTTTGGCAGTGTTTTCTTTTGTGCTTTCAAGAGGAGCAAAGGCTTTTTTGACGTGTAAATGGCACAGTGCTTCAGCTTCCCCCTTCCTGATGGCCACTGAAGCTTGTGCTCTCCTTAACGCCCTCTTCTCACCTGGTTCGAGCACGTCAGCATGCTGGTCATCCTCCTGAACTGTGTCACCCTGGGCATGTTCCAACCCTGCGAGGACGTGGAGTGCCAGTCAGAGCGGTGCACCATACTGGAGGTAAGGATCCTGTGCTGACCCACTTGCCTGGGATGTGTTGGGTGTGGTGGGGTGGGGTGGCCATCCTAGGAGCTGGGACCCCCATCTTGACCCATTTCCCCAGGATCCAGCCATGAAAGCCCTCCCCATAAAGATGTTTTTTCCAATGCCAAGTCTGTCCACCAAGGAGACCTGCTGTCATGGCCCTAGGTGACACCTGAAGGCTGACTGATTTGGACTTACCCCAGCAATATCCTTTCTATACACAACCAGTAAAGGTAGAGGGACCCAAAACTGGGCATCCAGCTCCCACTGGAGGTGTTGAACACTTTTTAATTACAGGATGGCCAATGTTGCTGGGAACCTCTTGCTCGCAGTCAGTTGGTTCCACACCAGCCAGCTCACTGTCAGCATCTCTTGGATTGCCGTAGTCTGGTCTGTGTAGTACGGCACCAGTGACCTTGCCATTTCGTTCCCTTCTTCATGAAGAAAAAAGCACGGGACGGGCCCGTGCCCGATGTCCTCCGCAGCAGAGCCCACCCCACCAGCTGAAGCTCAGCATTGCCAAATGCCACAACTGACCTTTGGGAAATGCATACGCGTGCAAAGTTCACAGACCCTTGTTGGCCACCCTAAGCTTAGTGGGGCATCACGCTCGTCACTTCATCCCTCACTGTGTCCTGGCAATCCCCTCGCTGCCATATGCCCGCAGGATTCGTTTTGGAAGCACATCCTGGCAGCATCTGGTGTGTGGGCTGCACCTTGGCGCTGGGCTTCCTGCAGCAACTCGGTTCTCAGGCTTGGAACCAACTTTCCTTGTTTCTAATGCATTACATCAACCTAGGCAGGGACTACCGACATGTGGTAGTGCAACGGGCTTGGTTTGTTCAAATCCTGCACAGATCTGCTGCTTTATTTCCCTTTGAGCATTACAGCCATACGGGGAGGCCAGTGGGATCCTTCCAACCAGCCTCTCCTGCCTCTTTCAAAGGTTGGGCCAGAGCTGCCTGCAAATGCCAGGAATAGCAGAGTTTATCATCAAATCCTCTTTCAACCTTAAAAGAGGATCTGTTAAATGCAGAGCCAAGTAGACCAGCTGAATTGAGAAGCCACTAGAGGTTTGTTATGGAATGAGATCAATTTTGAAGCAACTGTTGCCACCAGAGGTATCCAGCATAGGGATTGTCTCAGAGGGTGAGGCTCGGGGTTGGTGTGAAACGGCATCCAGAGGTGGCTAGTCCATCTCCTTCACCAGAAAATGTCACGCTGCAGGCAGCTGTGGGCTAAGCTGCCCTCGGAGAGCCCATCAGAAAGTTTCCGATCTCTCCTGAAAGGTTATACTGCCGTTTCTCTGCCTGTATTCACCCACGTGGGACTTGGTTTGGACAATGCCCATCCCTGCCAAAGTGTCCAGGCAGACAAAGGGAATCCTGCCTGGCCAAGGAGGTGACATTATTGAATGCTCGTTGTTTGCTTCCTTTTTTTTCATAATTTAATCAGGTTGCAGTCGCATGGCTTGCATGGTCTGTTCTCCCCAGAACAGACACACACACAGTCTGCGAGGAGCCCAGGCACTGAATTTGGTTTCTAATACCAGCTCAATGATTACAACATATTGAGTATATTTGCAAAAACCAGTGTATTATCCTGAAGGATTTGCAGGCAGAAAAGGGCTCCAAGTAAAGCCATCGTTATCCCTCACCCTGTCACAGCTTGCAGGAGGGAATGGAAGCCAGAACAGGAGGTAGAAAAGCCTGAACTTCTTTATGGAGGCGTTTGGATGCCAGTTATTAAATGAACTGAAATAATGGAGCAAAACTTCTGTGTAGTTTATCAAGGCAAAGGTTGGTTGATAAAGCCAACAGCCGGAGAAGATGGTGCTCACACACAGCCACGCAGGGGTAACACGGATGCACAGTGGGAACGTGGCTTCCATGTGGATACTCTGTTAATGTTACCATTAATCCACTCAGCCCTCAATGTGAAGTGCCAGAGACACAATACCAAGCAGTATAGTCATTAAGAGAGTGGTTTGGACAGCAGCAGTCATGTCTGTAGATCGAGAAGTTCCTGTGCTTTATCAAGTCTGTCATTCACAACAACAAAGCCTCTGCACGTGATTTAAAAGCAATCTGTATCTCCTGATGTTCAGATTTACAGGCAACGCGTAGAAGGGTGTTTACAACGGAGTCCATTGCAGTATCTTCGAGTACATCCACAGTTCATACATGTACCTGTAGTCTCCAGGAAGGCTGGAGAAATCACAGCTGTCCAAGGCCCCGCTACCCTACAGAAGTCATTCTTTAAGTAAAGGCTGAGGGGTGTTCTGTAGGGCAGCAATGGATTAATTTGTGGACCTTTATTTTCTCTTCTTGTTTTCACAGTAATCTAAAACCCCAAATTTTGACCTTCATCAAGAGGCTCCTGCGCTGGGCGCACGGGCTTGCCAGCAGGATGCCCTGAGCCTCCGCACCATGAGGAACCGCTCCAGTCATTCCTCATGTGCCCTTATAGTTACTGCTTCAGCCTCTGCTTGATGTGCGCATTCACTCCCAGCTCTGTCTGGGTCTGTGGGAGGGAAACTGGTCCCTTTGGGAGTCCATGAAGGCATCAAAGGTGAAGCACATCTCCCCTTTGTTAGATGGGACAAATTCTTTCTAGGAGGTATGAGCTGCCCAGTCTGGAAATTCAGCTTCCAGTGCAAGTTGCTGAGACCTCACAGACCCAACCACGAGCCGCTGGTGAATGCGTTGGCTTTAAATGCCAAGAAAAATATCCAGCCTGTAGAACCATGGTATCTTGGTATCTTTGTCAGTAGATTAATAGAAGCTGCTAATGCTTCCCAGACTGTCAGCTGACCCAGGAGCTGTGCTCGGGGGTTGCCACCACCCATCACGTACTGCAGGTTTTCTTTCTGAGTTCAGTAGGTGGCACTTTGGTACCGGTGCTTTGCCTGACAGCGTCTGCCAGGGTATACAGAGTCCCTCTGTGGTGGGAGCGCTCGTGTCTCTGCTTTCCTTTTCCCTGATAAGAGAGCACAGCAGAACTGACTGTAATAATCTTTTACTGGTCTCCAGGCATTTGACGACTTCATTTTCGCTTTCTTTGCGGTGGAGATGGTCATCAAGATGGTGGCTCTGGGGATCTTCGGGCAGAAGTGTTACCTTGGAGATACGTGGAATCGCCTGGACTTCTTCATCGTGATGGCGGGGTCAGTAACAAAACCTCATAAATTTGCTCTGCACGGTGAAAGCAAGAAAACCCCAGAGCCAAATCTGTAGGTTGTCCTGGCTGGTTTTCATTACGTCTTGTGAAAGCTGCCAGGCTCAAGCCAAGACAAAGTCTCCTAAGTCTCATTTGGTTTCACCTCTGGCAACCATGTTGGATTATGGGGTGGGGTATGAATGTCAGGGCAAAAGACATCGGGTTTCCAGTAGCAATCCTTTCACCAGTGTCATCTCTGTCAAATCAAGTGCACGCTGATCTAGTTCATGTGATGGCCAGTATGTCCCAGTGCTTGTGGTTAAGGATGCTGTCTCCAGAACGCGTGGAAAAAGCAAACAGCAGCTCAGTCCCGCTCCTCCTATGTGACACTGTGGGAGTGAAGTAGAGAGGCAGAAATTGGCCAAACAAGGAGAATCTAGCCCAAAAATCTGGTTCGGAAGGTTGAAATCTCAGTGGAAGAAGCTGGCCAAAAGCGGACAGAAATTACAAGTGTGTGCAAATGCCTCCTGTAAACCTCTCTTGGTTTACATTTTCATACCGTCTCCCACAGCTGCTTATTTGAGCAGGATGTGTTAACAAACAGATATAGGGAAGATCTGGGTGCTTTTGACACCAGTTCCCTCGCACCCATAGGGAAAAACTGAGTCAACTAAAAGCTTGGCAAGTCTAAAACTTTTTTCTACAAATAAATGGATTTTAGAAACCCCAGGCTCTCTTACCAGCTTAGTATACCCTAGAAAGGGATAGACTGTTTAATTACAGAGCTCTGCCTTATTTTGTAATTCCTGGGTTTATAATGACCAGCCTGGGGTTAATTAGAACATTCCTGTAATATGTTGGGGCATTTTTACCCTTACATTAGCGATGTACAATCTCCACTGCACTAATGGAGTTTTGTGTTTGCTCCATGTTATTTGTCTGGAATACAATTAGGAATGGCCTTACTGGTTTGAATAAAACATGAGCTCTCCTGAGCAGAGCTTCCTTTGAACCTGTGTGCGGTTACAGCCCAGGAAAGAACAGCAGGGACAACAAAAGCAGCAGTTAATTATTTTTTCTTTCCAAAGCTGCTGCAGCGTTTAAGGCAGAAGGAGTAGGGGAAGAGCCAAGGCTGTGGTTGCAGGGGGAACTCGGGATCAGAAATCTGCCGCCCATAACCAACGTGCCAAAAGTGTTGTCCCCACGCTGAACCTGCAGGATGAGCTCTCCTGATGGGCGAGCGGAGGTTGCCCATATCATCAAACAGATCATCCCAGCGAAGCGGGAGAATAAAATAGCACGTGCAGGCAGAAAGGCTGAGCCCTCTGCTCAGACCTCAGAGTCAGGTTTGGCACCTGGATCTTTGTTCACATAGTACCTGGGACGAGGGGGAAGGTGGCCGGTGAGTCAATTTGGTAGTTTTCCAGGGCATTTCTCCACCCTCCGTGGCTGGCATATGTTTGAGAAGAATGAAAACGGCAGAAACACCGGGAGATCCTGATGGGAAGCCCTGCTGCCAGTCTGGTGTTACTCAGGCTGAAGATGAAAAGAGCAACGGCCCCTTCTCTGGCTGATTCTGGGCCATCTCCAGATGATTTTGGTATATTCAAGCCATACCTGTGACATTATTTCCCATATCTCAGAAGAGAGGCTGGTGTGGGAGCTGGGCTGGCCAGTAACGCTGGTGGAGGGCAAGGACAAGCTGTGCGATGGGCTGGGGTTCTTCACTTCTCCCACCTCTCCCACCACCACTGTTCAATCCACTGTCTGCTCCTGAAACTGGAGGCGGTTTCAGCAGGGAGCACGCCACTGGAATAACAAGAGTCGCTTTTTCCAGGAAGCAGTGAAGTTATTATGAGGCTTTTTTTCTGATAAGAAGGGAAACAAGTGATAGGCAGTGCTGCCTGCTTTGTTTGTCCCGTTCGGTCGCCTTAAATAAGCGGATTTTGCTTACTAGCAAGTATACCAAAGGGAGCGGAGGGTAAGAAGGGAAACTACAAAATAAACATATCTTCTGCCTCTAGCAACAGATTGTGTCTGAAGTTTGTTCCAGCAGTGAAAGCCCTTTCATGTTTTGCTCGCCTGAGAAATGTACCCTGGAAAATTTCAGACCGAATGGAGCTTACAACCTTGCAGTCTGTCCAGCAGCCAAGTTGAAAGCATTTCCCGAGCATCAAAAACGTTGTCCACAAGAGCTGAAACCAGAGAAGTTTCTTGTGCATGCAGTCCCTGGAGACGTTGCAGGCTCATATGATATGCTTTGGACATCTTTTAACATGACAGCTGAAAGACTGGAAACTCTTCGTGGTAGAAGACATCGCAAAGGCTTGTGCCTCCTATTTTTTCAGACTCGGAGGCTGTAGGGAATCACCTACCACCCAGGTGCCGGTCCACCCAGATCTCCAGTCCTTGCGTACCCAAAATTTCCAGCTCCAGCAGGTTTCTGTCAGGCATTTCCAGTGTATTCTTGGCTTACAAGTGTGATACAAGAAAAAGACCTCAAGCTTGGCCTTGACAAAGAAACCTTTGGCTTTTTCGTGAAGGTTTCAAATGTTTGCACTGCCTGCAGAAGGTTCAATCTGGAAGCCATCAAGTGGTTCGGGTTGGCTTTGGTGGGTGATGTAGATCCGCCTGAGACTTATTTTCAAATCCTAAATGGAGTATCACAGAAGTCCAAAGTATCAGGGTCAGAAACTCTGTTTCCCAGGCCAAATCCTGGATTATTCACCTTTTATCAGCCCCGTTGAAACTCCAAGGGCCAAGTAAAAGTCAGGCCCCAGGAGCCGTCCCTTTAACACGCTAATAGTTGCGTGTGCTCTCTGGACTACAAAACCAGCTCCCACCAGAGCATTTCATACTCCTTTTACATGCTATTAGTAGTTCAAAAACTGTATCAGTTACACTAAAATCCACTTACTCAGCCACCCGATAAATTTTGAGCGTGCTGTATTGGGACCACGCCAGCCAGTAGATTCAGGGGACTTTAAACAATGCTTTGTCTATTCCTGCAAGGTCTGTTTGGAGCAGACACCTGGTGCTGGCTCCAGGCCCCTCGACGCAGGTGTGAACGGGCATTTCCGATGGCTTTCCCACTGTGTGGTCCTTCGTGCGGCTCCAGGCTGCTTCCCACTGCTCTGCTCCGTCTGCTTAATGAACACGCATTAGATTTAAAACCTGTTTTCATGCTGTGCTGAGTTTTAAAGCTATTCATCACGTTCAGCTCAATTCCTACGTACAAGCTTTAAGGTGGTTTTGATTTATAAAGACTCACTAACTACTTCAGAATCAAAAAAATATCTCTGGAACATTATCACTGAAAACAGCTCAAAATCATGGCAAATTAAGGCTAACGGGCCAAAGTCACCTCAGTGCAATGCCAGTGATATCGCGGGGTTACACCAAACAGCTTCAGGACAAAGAGAAAAGAGAAGCAAACATCAGAACACCTAGATATTCCCAATTAAACTTCGTAGAGCGGGTCAAAGCACCAAATACGAAGTGCAAGGCTCTGGCAGAGCAGAGCATGGGCACACCGGCAATGATGCCCCTGAGCAAGGCTGGCCCGAAACCGAATTTCCATCTGCTGTTGCCTGAAATCCATTCAGCTGTTGCTTCAGTCCATTCGGCTGTTGCTTCTTGATGGCACATAACAGTTTTGGTCCATCCTGGCCACAGGAAAGGGGTTGGAAAACCCCTTTCCACTGAAGCTTCTGAAGCGCCTGGTTGCAGCAGTTCAGCTCGTATTTGCCTTCCTCCTTCCATATCTGTTTGTTTATTTAAAAAACAAAACAAATCGAAACAAAGCAAAAGCTCTTTCTCCATGGGATCCAACAGCTTACTCGCAGGGTTGCTTTTGATGCTGTTATGTTATTTGAACAGGCGTGGTGAGAGATTTGTGACATATTTACAAGTGCTTCCCTGTAGTCAAACTCATAAATTGTAATTACAGCCATGCTAACTAGCCATAACCCCATTAAAAAAACAACACTACACACATTTGCCACTCATTGCTATAAAAGAGCAAGAAAACTGACTTGACTTAACGTCCTTCCCAGCCTGGGAGAGAAATGTTTATGTGAAATGGAGACGAAGCATGAAAAAGAAAATGTTCCCTATTCTTGATAATAAAATGGAAACCAAACTACTTCAACGTCGTTTGTCGGCTGGGTTATTCACATTTTTGTCATAGGGGGAGAGATAAGCTGGCGTGAAAATACGCTGGGGTGTTAGTAGGGGGTATAATATCAGAAACATCTTATTGACTTTGAGCTGCATGGAGTTGTGCAGTAATCTCCCCGGGAAGGCTGCGGATGCGCCACGGGCCGGAGCACGATAAGCTAATGGAAAGGGAGAGCAGCACAGCTGGGGGAGCTGAGCAGATAGTTGGGGGCACCCCCTCTGCCCCGATTTCTGTGGCCCCAACTTTGCTGCTCCTTGTCGTGCCAAGTCCTTCTTTCCGATGTGTTACCTGTGCCTGCAGCCCGTTAGCCCGGGAGCGCATCTGCCTGCCGACCCCTGCACCGTCGCTCCTTGTGTGGGTATTTCCAGTCTCTTAGAGGCTGAAATATCCCTTATATCCTCTGTTGACAGCACGATGCACATTATAAGCTGCAAACACAGAGTGGGTGGGTTTGCAAGCCTGGGCTATGGCTCCCAGAGCGCGCAGGCAGCGTCAGCCCCAACCCCGGGCAGCCCCGCACCCTCGTGCCGAGAGAGAGAGCATCCCGCATCCTGACACCTTTCCTCTTTCCCCCGCAGCATGATGGAGTATTCTCTGGATGGACACAACGTGAGCTTGTCTGCCATCCGCACCGTCCGGGTACTTCGGCCGCTACGAGCCATTAACAGGGTCCCAAGTAAGTGACAAATTCATCCGCACCGCAGGCACGCTGCCGGGGTGGCCGGCAGCAGCCTGGGCTGCAGGAAAACCAGGGGGTTAAAGCCACCCCGGGTGGCTCTCTGCCTGCTAAGCCTTGCAGTAGTAGTCTACTCTCCCGCTGCGGAGAGCAAGTTCATTTATTTTAATTTATAGCAGCAAGTTAGAGATCGTTTGTTATGATTATCAGTGTTAGTAAAGGGCAAGGGAGTAGATTTTATACCTGAGGGGGGTGGGGGAATTTTCATGGCTGTTTTCCAACATTTTTGTGAACTCTCTGAGGCAAGTAACTCTCTGCTCCTAGAGCAAAGTAAATAACAAAGTTCCTATAAAGAAAGGGGAAAAGTCAGTTCTAAGAAGGATCTTCTTGCCCTGGATGGGTTCATTTTCTCCTCTCAGTTATTTAAGGTCTTTCTGTTTCATTGTGTTCAGGATTAGAAGCGCAGCAGCCTCCATTGCTGGTAAAATACCACAGAGGGTTTGCTGTCATGTAGAACAAAATTGGGTTCATCCACGATAGAAAGTTCAAGTGGCCCCTAAATCCATTTTCAAGTGGCTTCAGCTGCTTGTCTTCTAAATCCAATTTGAAAGACGAACCAACAAGTTGAAATAATTTCCTGCCAGAATCAGCTGTCTGCTGAGCAATCGTTTACAAGGTACTAATTTCGTAGCGCTTTCATCATTTTTTAACCAAAATCCACTCAATTCGAAATGCAACGGCATTGTATGGAAATCATAGATGTTCCTTGCAAAAAAAAAAAAAAAAAAAAAGTACATTTCCTGTTCTTTCTAAAAGCACGTTTGAATGACACAGCCCCGCCGGTCCTCGCTGAACATCCTGCCTAGATTAATTGCCCATCATGTCGGCACATCTAGGGAGAGCAAAACAAACTCCCCCAGAAGGGTTTCGGTTCCAGCACCTCAGATGAACATGCAAAGGAACAGATGGATGTTTACGCACAGGAGCCTTTGAAGTTTCTCTCCAAGCTCAAATTTTTCACGATTTTTCTTTAAAAAAAAAAAAAAAAAATTGTAAATTTGACAGTGACATCATTGGAAGTTAAAAACAAGACAAAAAGAAATAAGAGGCTAAAAGGGACCATGAAACCCTCCAGAGCTTTGTTTTCCTAAGGAGGTTTTGTTACCAGGGTTTCGGAGCAGCCTGAAAGCACAACACAGTTTTCCTCTGGGATTTTAAGCGCGGTGGCTCCGTGGCCTCGCTGGGACTGGGGGGAGCGGAGGGACACTGGCACATGCTCGGCTCGGAGCACCACCGAAGTTTCAGGCTGGGGTGAGGATCGGGCTCGCTCTGAAGTTATTTAAATCCATGAAACCCTTTGTAGCTGTCCCTAGAAATAGTGGGAGTCTCAAGCTGGGATTCAGCTGGGCTGAAAGCAGAAGCCAGGGGAATTTGAGGATTTACATCCATATTAAACCGAGGCCCAGGGATCCAAACACCTCCAAGTCTACCTGACATTTTGATCTAGGTCCAGCTTGTGTTTTTCTTCCTTAGGAGTCTAATATTGAAGCTTTGAAGTAAGCCTTTTAGGCTCTCTTCCCATACGCTTGCCACTTTGATTTTTATTTTATTTTATTTTCAAAAGACAGGCTGTAGAAAATATTCAATTTTTTGTTAATAGTATGTGAGATTAAATCCAAAGAGCTCAATCCACGTTTGGAGATGAGTTGTCTGGCTTGATGAGCAGCTAGGCTGGTCTTACAGCACTACTAGTGTCTTGAACGAGTGCCAGGGCAGGATTAGTATTCTTAGAAATATCTCAGTTCCTGGAGGGCAGATAATCACAGACTACTTGTTTATGAGACACTAACTTCATCCACTTTTAACGTCGGTACTTTTACTGTTTCAGACTGATACCTGATATAATCCAGTGTCTGCAGAGAATGGGTAGTGACAACCCTCTATTTTGTTGTATTTTTTCAGTTTCCGGCAATAACAGAGTTACATTTCTAGTCTTTCATCCATGGGGATGCTACAGCTTAACGGGGGGATTACCTTCGGACGTCCATCGCATCCCAGCCAGCAGTGTGGCAGCAGGTCCCGCTGAGTCCTGTCTGTGCCGTCCCCAGCACTGGGACAGTGATGCTGCCCTGGCCACCGCACCGCTGGCGGGAGTGGGGTTTTCGGCTTGGTGGCAGTCGCAAAAGGATGTCGAGCAGATACAAATTACAGCTGGGTCAGCAGAGGAGAGCCTGGCATTCAGTTGCAGGCACAGGGGAAGCAGGGACCCATGAGAAATAGTCTGGCGATTTCTGCCGGTGATGCCTGGGCACTTTCCTGGGTTCCAGCCAGCGCTATTAGCTCTTTGCTTCCAGGCACAATAAATTCACCCACAAGATTATTTCATTTTTATTCTATTTGTTAAGAAAAGAAAGGAGAACCCTGGCCAATAAAAACATCATCTCTATTAGAAATTATTCCTTGAAAATGGCTGGAAAAATGCAATTCCTCCGATTTATATGTTTGGCAGGGGCTGTAGTTAGGAGGTTTTTTTTAGTAGTGGTCACTGTTTTTTCAAATCCATTTCACCGCTTTATTTTTATTTTTCTACTATGTGGTTTAAACCAGGCATCACATGGAATGGGAGCGGAAAGAAATCCTGATCCTCGTTTCAGCCTAACCGATGCTCCTGCTCTTTTCCCATGGCACGCTTGACATTCTGCTGAGAGCCCAGAGCACCCTTAGCGGATAGCGAACAGATGGATTCAATCTCGAGAATGGTGCCACTAAACAACCCAAAATACCAAAAGTAGCTGAGCAGAAAAAAAAGTTTTCTGGCACAGGGAGATAAATTTTAACCATTTTTGGAAAAAAAAAAGAGTGAGGATATTAGTGAGAGTGGGGCGGGGGAGAAGAAGAAAAGCCCAGCATCGTCTTTCCAGTGGGAATTAAGCGAGTCTTTTCTGCTTTTCCAAAGATAGATTTGCAAGGAAGGTCTGAAGAGCCGTGCTGCGGGATGTGCTCCTGGGGGCTTACGATGACAGCACACGATGGGAACAAGCGTTATGAAATCAAGCCCCCATTTGCCTCTAGCTCTGGGTTTCCCGCTGCGCGCGGAGCCGGGGCCGGTGCTGTCCCCGGGGTTGGCACCGGCATTGCGGTTACAGGGGATGGCAGG